TAAGTTAAGTTAAGTTAAGTTAAGTTAAGTTAAGTTAAGTTAAGTTAAGTTAAGTTTAAGTTTAAGTTTAAGTTTAAGTTTAAGTTTAAGTTAAGTTAAGTTAAGTTAAGTAAGTAAGTAAGAGAGAGAGAGAGAGAGAGAGAGAGAGAGAGAGAGAGAGAGAGAGAGAGAGAGTAAATGCTTACTTGAGCAGCAGTTTTTCCTTTGGCCCGAGCTATTTCATGGAGAACTTCACAGTCCAAGACTGCAACAGGACCAGCAATATCTCGTTGCCCTCCTAAAGGAGAGTATGCAGTCACATGAATCCCCTTTGCTTCACAAAACTCCCTCATCTTCCTCTGTTGCCATTGTGGGTGCATTTCCACCTAAGCACAAATTGCTGATATTTCCTCAACAATAACCATTAAAGCTAGAAAACTAACCACCTTCATGAATCTCATGTGCATGCTTCCTAGGGCACATGCACTTAAAAAGAATGGTACATGATCTATGCCATGTAATAAACCAAGCATGGTTACATGCTTTAAAAGGCTAAAGTCCCAATAGAGTGCATGATCAACAGGGTAAATATGTGCCATATGATGGTTCAATGCATACCATCAAATACATGATTTAATGAGGAAGTATACAATAAGAGCCTTAATTTTTGCACAAAAAGGCCGGACTTGTTTTTGAGAAATTTATCAAAATATACTTAATTTATCAACTATTTAACATTGGACACGGTTTCTTTTGAGTCCCTGGACTCATACACCATCTTAATAAACAAATGGGATTTTATCACTAATGAGGAATGTAAAATCCCTAACATGATGATCATTAATACATAAAAAATTAAATTTTAAAAACTAAAAATGATAAAAACTTCATGAAAATATTTAGACCATTGATTTTAATTATTTTTTTTGAGGACCGCCATTTACATCCATTTTTGAGATGGAGGATTCGATCTTCGTGAGGGATGGTGTATGCCTTGGGGAATGCAAATGTCAGAATGCATCCCCCGATTCATGTTACGATATTCCTTCAACATACTTATTCCCACTCGTGATCATATTTATTGTTTGTGGATTTTTATAAGATTTTTAAATTAAATTAAAAAATAGCTATCATATTAAGTACTCAATCTCTTAGGTGCATTTTTATAGATTCCCCTCTATTTTTTGCGCAAAAATCACAATCAGCCCTGTCATTCCCAGTAGCTTGATTGTATGGTTCCCCTCCCTCAGTAAGAGTCTCCTTATCTCCTTTAACTTTGAGAATTATAAAACACCTCAATCCTCTCTCTTTAACATCTCACTGCTTGGTTAATGTGAAGTTCCATAGAGAACTTCATTACGATTTATTGATTTTATTTTTTACTATTTTATCTTATTCATGTCATTGTTTAAAATAACACCACCATGGTTGGTTCCAAGCCAGTTGTGTCGATCCCAAATCCAAATAAAAGAGAAGGGATGTGCTTTAAAACTTTAACAGCTTTTTTCATGAATCCTAAACATATGATTATGTTGGCGATTAAAATATGGGACTCGGGCTCCAACTTGCTAGGAGTTCGAGCATGTCTCCAACTTGTAAGACATGGCTCTTTCTTATAAGAAATTGAAACAAGAAAAATTGAATTTTAAGAAATAATTGAGAAACCTCGTAAACCCTGAGTTTTTCAAATCATTTGGCTCTGATTTCCAAGCAATATTGGGCAGTTCCGTATATCCAGCAATTATGTGAGCAATTCGGAGTCAGTTTGGTAATTTTCAAATTACTAAAGAAAAGTGGTTTATGTGACGGGGGGGTGCAAAACTATATTTACATCCCCAAAGCACCAAACATCCATCTTAAGATCCCCAAAGCACCAAACATCCATCTTAAAGATGAATGTACACGAGTCCAAAATCTATTTCTAAAATGGATCATTAAGAGGAGATGCATATCTACATAAGTGTGCACGAATGACACAATCGGAGGCCACCGGGATCCAGGACTAATCATTTTTTTTCTTCCCTTGGGTAATCACATCAACATGCATATAGATCTACCAAGTATTAGGATTCGCTACAAAGACATCATTTATCTATTGTGCATGGAGGTCACAATCATTTTTATTCATTAGATGTCAAGCAAGATGGCTTGGAATGAATCACAAAATCCGAAAAATTTTCTTTGGTGCGTTGTGTCTATTCAATGACACTCATACAACCGCTTATTTTGATATTTAAGGGATAAAATTGATTGTGATCTCTATGTACAAAAGATAAATAGTTTCTTTGTGGACAATCCCCCAAATACTTGCCACCAATTTCTTTGATAAAGCTCAGGCAAGAAAATCTTTCCACATTTATCTTTGAAATGCTAGACAAAAATATGACATTAATTTCTTTGATAAGGAACTTTGAAATTTTAAGTTGAAATCTAGAAGAACACCTGTCTTCTACTTGGACGTTCACAAACTTCACAGAAATACAAAACTTAGGGAGGAGGCATACAGAAAATAGCATTGTTTTCATGCCCAAAAAGGGGTTAAATTGCAGAAATAAAGTATAAAATTTTGTTAAAAATGAAAAGCAATAAAAATCTAAAGAAGCTATAATATATTTTGGTCTATAAAATTAAAAAAAATATAGTAGATGGAATACGGAAAAATTTACTGAAACAATTCAAAAATATAAAAAATTTAAAAAAATAAAGCAGATAATAAGAAAATTTTGCAAATCATCATAAGAAAGAATAATTATATAAAAACATATATGTGCTTTACTTTTAGTGACTTAGTAAAATTATTAAATACTTAATAAGAAACCCAGAGTCTTGTTGTTAAAGTCATAGTTACCGGAAGCACCCTACTAGGGTGGACAGGAGCTCTCACTCCGAAACCCAGCTCCGGTGTTTCATGACCATGATCTTAACCGGAACTCGTTTTAAATTTTTTAGAAGCTGCCTCCTATTTATAGTATTCTTGATCCCATGTACAAAAGATCTCAATCCCACTATCGCACGGAATGCATTTCTTAAAATTGTAGATATAGTTTCTGAATAATTTTAGAAGCATGATCCCTACGTTACCGGACCTTCCTAAAGAAACTTTTTTAATAAAATTAACTTTTAAAACAAAATAATCATATTTTAAGCCAAATATTCATACGAGTGGAGTTCTGCGATGGGCGCGTGGATTAATCATGTAAGGAACGCATCGTTCCTTGAATGGACCTCGATCCTTTCCAAATAGGAATGCGATCATTCTTAGATGAGGCCACGATCCTGTTGTTGATGGGAGCGATATCCTAATGAAGATGGGAGCACAATCCCATTTAACATGGAACGCATACCCGTTAAATAATGATTTAGATCCCAATGTATCTCTGATATTGATATGCTACTTTTACCCTCATTATACCTCGTTCTCCGAGCTCTAGAGCTTTGGGTAGCCATCTATCTGACGCTCTCCCGGAACCAAAGCTGTTCCCGCTCCCGATAATTATGATTAAAACTGGACTGGCTGAGTTTTGAAATACTATGTATGAGAAAAGTCTCTCTCTCTCTCACCTGATTAACTGCAGGGGGAATGGTGGCGTAGGCCAGCAGATCTCCAAGCTTCTTGCTAGAGAAGTTGCTAACCCCTATGGATTTGGTGAGCCCCATTCTGCAACACTCTTCCATGGCTCCCCATGTGCCTTTGATGTCAACAGGGAGGATATCTTCTGCTGCCCAAGAAAAACCCCTGTACCCTTCCCTCAACCTCACCGGAAAATGTATGAGATACAAATCCAAATACTCCAACTTCAACCTCCTGCAAAATTCCTAGAAGAAAATATCAAAGGAAGACGATCCTAGCAAGTAACAATGTATCAAAGAAGAAGGAAAAGCTTTATGTGTGTCTCCACACATGTATAATTTGTATATTTTTTTGAGACATTCATCTATCTAATGTTGATCGAAATGCTACATATTAATTATGACATGTTAAATCAGTGTTTATAAAATTAAACCGCCTTCAGAAACTGCCCAACAGCGGGTCCGATTAACTAGTGAATCGGCTAGTTCAACATGCCTAACTGATAAGGTTCCGGCCGATCCAAAAAGTATTAAAAAATAAAAAATACTGAAAAACTCTAAAAAAATATGAAAATTATATTTAAAACATGATTAAACATAACACATTCAAGTAAAGTTAAAAAAAAAAAAGATTTTAATAAGCCGATTTGTTCCCAAGGTATTTTTAAAATTTTCTTGAAAAAGGAAAATGTCTACCAAAATGACAAAAAAAACATTGAAAAACAAATTACAAAAAGATTTTATAACTTTTTAAAACAAATTTTTAAAATATCCTGTCCAATTACCAAACTGGACAAAATCAGATCGACCGGTACCCGGTTCTAGTTTAAGTAGCCGATCTTGAGTTAGACCCGCCGAGTTTGAACACTAAGCGAAATACGGCTAGCACTAGCCAAGAATATCATTCTTGGCAAGCCACCAACTGCACAATTAATACTAGCCTGATTCGAGTCTCCAAATACGTATAAATTATTTATAATCTCCACTCCAATTATTTATGTTGCTGGGGATCCAAACTTGAGCAAAGTCACCAAAAAAAAAGAAAAAAGGAGTGGACTTACTCTAGTGTTTCCTTAAGGGCAGGCAAGACCTTGTCAGGGTGGACATCGGTACACCAAAGCTTAGATGTAATGAAAATGTCACCTCTACTTCTAATGATATTTGTGTTGAGAGCTTCGGCGATGGCTTCACCGAGGGCTCTCTCTGACTTGTATAACTTAGCAGTGTCAAAGTGCCTGTAGCCCAACACCATGGCCTCTAGTATTGGGAGCTTCAGAGACTCGTCTTCAACAAAAGGGAATTGGGCTGTGCCCATTGCTACTAATGGCATCTTGTGCCCTGAATTTAGCACCACTTGAGGGACTTCTCCCATTATTTTCTCACTCTCAACAATACAATCTCTCTCTCTCTCTCTCTCTCGGGTAGAAAAGAGCTGTTTCTCTCTCTAACAGGTAGAAAAAAGCGCTAGACGAATGTGGTGAGGACTGGTTCGTTCTATATTTGCAGGCAACGATTTCCATGCCACACAATAAACTTCAAAAAGAAGAGGACAGATGGCCGCTCCAAGACGGGCCCTTCGAATATTTAATTTTGGGTACCCTGGGAATCAATGGTTTCACACAAATTTTCTCTCTCTTGGCGTATTTCCCTACCTCTATGACCTCATAGTTATCCGATAAAATCAATCGAAAACAATTAATTTGAGCACTTAAATTTAGGAAAAATCTCTTGGCGTTTTCTCTCTCTACCTCTTTAAAGTCACGGTTATCCGATAAAATCGGAGAGAAATCTTTTGGCGTTTTCTCTCTATCTCTTTAAAGTCATAGTTATCCGATAAAATCAGGCAGAGGAGCAAGTTTGAGCCCTTAAATTTTAAAAAAATCTGAAGGATTATAAACTTACGAAAAAAAATACGCTCGTTGGGTGTAGGGGATAGAGAAAGTTTAAAAGAAAAAATTTATTTTTACTTATGTAATGTAGAGAGAGACAGAGAGAGGATACGCAGACCCACAAGATAGAAAAAATTTCCGTTTTTGAATGATCGAAAATTTTAAATTTTGGGTTACTTACAAATATAAATTAGCTTGAAAATATTTTGAATTCAGTTGTTCAATAGCATAAAATAAGTAAAATCATTTTTTATAAAAAAAATTGTTTTGACAAAAAAAAAAACACGTGGTAACAACGGACACTATTCGATAGAGCCGTAATATAGGAAACTATAACGGATATGTAGGTAATTTTTTCTAGTTTTGTTTAAAAAAAATGAATATTTTGTCTTGTTATACTTAGATCTGGCGCTTTAAAAATTTTATGGTTTCTATTTAATATTAAGGCACTAGTTTTTCCGGTGCATCGACAGTTTATTTCAGAATTTATTTTACTGAGATTATCTGTTTTGAGAATTATATCTTTTGAAATTGAGATCTAAAAGGTATTTGTGGCATGCATTTTGTTTCATAGAGTAAATGAATAGTATACTCCAGCAAGAGTAGGAAATCTTTTGACAACCACTACTTAGGATGTTTATAATATATGGGAACGGGCACACCAAATCAAATTGTTGTTTAAATTTTTTTATTTTTTTTTATGTTTTGAAAAAGTGATTTTGAAAGTTTTTGTCCGCGATATCCGGGTGACTTCCTAAACCGTCCTCATTAATTTTTTGGTCTAAGTTTAGTGAGTTTGTACGATGAACTTGACATAAAACCATAATCGTTATAATTTATTCATGAGCTAAAGTATTTAGCCTATAAATTTTGTTTGTTTCGGTTGTCAGGCACTAAAACTTTAAAAGACGGAAAGTTTTACTTCTCATAAAATATATGGATGTGAAGTAACCTTCACGAGCTTTTGGATATTAAAAATCATTTAAGGGTTAAAACCACTTACAAAATTATTACCGGTAAAACATCTCAATCACTTTTGAATTTTCATTTTACTCAAAATAATTTATTAAAAAATATCTAAATTGCCCATATTCAATTTTGGAAAATTTCAATGTTGTGATATTTCCTAAGTAAGCAGGATAGCCCAGGTACTTGGTGGGAGCTTTTAAGATGGGTCAAATTATTCCGAACATCGGGTTATCTTTAAAGATGTTTTTTTTTTTTTTGAGGCACGTAAATGAAATGAGAATTAATAAATAAACATTTGCTGTCAATTGGGACTTTTTATCCCCTTGATAAATTTGCAACGGGTAATGGTATTTTACTTGAAAAAAATTAAATAAAATTTATATATAAAGATTGGAAAATGTTATAAATATTTGAAAATGAGAAATTTTAGCACCGGTTTATCCTAGAGTGGTTGTCATTATCATTTAAATGCGCTGTTATTCGCCCTTTAACCTAGAAACCTTCGGGCAAGTTCTTCCCACGAATATTCATAATGGCACCAATTTATGATAGGAAAAAGTAATTTTTTTTCATCCCACTATTTTTGTTTTAGGGCCAGATTTTGTAGTATTTTTTATTTTCAACGAGCTTTCTATACTGCTCCTAATGGATAAAACTTATATACTTCTTTTTATCCAACCGTTTATTCTAAATGGACAACCAATTTTGAGTGTCCACTCCTCTCTTAAACTCGCACCTGTAAAAAAAAATATAAAACAAATACTCTCAATAAAATAAAATGGGCAAAAAAAATTTAAATATTTTTTTATCAAAAATATTAAAAAATATATTTTTTGGTTGCACCCTATTGAGATCATGTCACATGTCAAATTTCATATTCATATAATTTTTAAATAAAAGATAAAAATAAAAAAAGCGTCTGATCTAATCAAATGATCAGGGCTCACTTGATAAACATTGTACAACTGGATGAGGGTGGAATTATATATCTTCCCTACAATAGGGAAAGTATAAAAACATTTCCCTTTTATTTTTTTCCTTCCTATAGTACACCATCCCTAATATGCGACAAATGCGAGTCTTACGAGCTTCTGGTATTCTATCATGTTTGTCTAGACCACTAAATGGAAATTCATTTATATTTGTTGCAAGTTTAAGAGGGGATACTTTAACAATTTTTCGCCTCTACTCACTGGCTGGGCCGGGCACGGCAACCATGCCGGCCCCAAAAAACTACGGTCTGGGCTACAAGATGTGGCCCAAGGGCCGGGCCACGACAGGGCCTGCCTGGTTCGCCTCGCCCAACCCTTCTTTTCATACTTTTCTTTTCGTTCTTTTTTATTGGATCATAGTCAAGCCCATCCCTAACATAGTGACAAGGATAGGGTCATGGCCTCCTCAGCCCAAGCAAGGTGATTTGACCTATTCTCACTTAGGTGAAAATTTGTCAATATAAAATTGGAAAAAATAAAGAAGTGAAAACCAGCCAAATTTATGGGGACTCAACAACTACCTAGTTTCGAATAGGAACCGGGTAAGTTCCCACCAATATCCCATCTTTATCATATGATTCTGATCAGGATCAGCAATTCTTAAAGCTTTATTCCCTAGTGAATTTGCACATTTTCTTTTTTAATAATCATGCATCTAAGGCAGAAACATGCATGTGGTGACATAGGATGTGTTTCAATCCCTATAGCTATAAAAACCATAGTGGTCACATGCATCAAAGGATGCACAAAAAAAAAAGTACCCAAAAGAAAAAAAAATGATTTTATCAGATTTTTTTTGACAAAATGATTTTATTGGATATTCTGACAATAATGAAAGTTAAAGAAAAAATACCAAATAAAAAACAGTGATCTTATTAGATATTTTGTTTGGGATGTTATACAATGATACCAATTTACCTATTGTATAAGAAGGTCACATTTACTTATAGGGTTATGTTAGGGTCCTCACACTATAGAGCATTTTAGAATTGTATTCGATAAATTGTGAATATTTATATACCTTTGTTTCACAGTACAATATTTTTTTAGTAAAAGTATATGTGGTCATTAGGATGGGTGACATCATCCACATAGGATATGACATAATCAACATGGAGTACACTAGTGGCATTTAACGTTTCATATGGGTCACACCCCATGTAGATGATGTCACATCCCTCTGAATGACAAAAAATACCCTTACTAAAAAAATAAGACATGGTTTCTATGAGTCAATGTAGAAATGAGTCGACTCTTAAAAATATATTTTTGAGATGGATTTTCGGAATCAATTTTTAAGGACATGTAATCTCTAACATGGAGATCATGAATATATAAAATATATAAATTTTAAAATATAAAAATAATGATTTTATGAAGAAAACATTTGGACCTTTAGTTTCATTTGCTTTTAGATGGACAACCTATTTTCATCCATCTCTAAGATGGATGTTTTATACCTTGGGATCTCATATTGTGGAAATGCGGTCCACGTCGCATAAAACAATTTTCCAAAAAAAAATTCGTATTACAAAACAATAATATTTAAGTGTCCAAAATTTATTGACTAAAATTATAAAATGCTACCCTGACATAACCGATACTTATAATTATCCGATGTGAAATTTGATAGCTTAGGTGTATCACAAAGTTTGAGAAAATTTCTTTTGAACTTTGAGCTCGGTCAATGACATAAATATAGCCACCTACTTTCACATCTTATGGTCAAGAATAATTGTACTAAAGATAAGTGGTCTTATTGTATATTTTTCTATTTTAAAATACTGAAGTTGAAGATGTTTTTCCAATAGTGAAGTTGAACATATTTTTTAAATAAAAATTTATCGAACTTTGTGATACACTCAAGCTATTCACAAAGTCACTAAAATACATAAAGTTGTGTATGTCTAAACAGGTCAAAAATTTCAGACTGTGCAATGTATAAAAGTCAAAATATCTGTTCACATTTCCTCTCAAACTCAAGATGCTTCTTTCAAAGAGAGTAGTTGGAGTTTGAACAGTAGAATGCAAGCTTAAAAAATAATACAGGAATAGAAGAAACCGGAGCAACGGCAAATAAGCAATCCTCAGAAACAGACGCCTCAAACAGAGTAAGCTCGAGTTAGAACAGATCAAAAGACCTCAGTGACAAACGTCCAGAACATACATAGTAAGCTCGAGCAACATCAAATCAACAAGTCTCGAGAACAGATGTCCAAAATATAGTACGATCGAGCAACAAATAAAAAACGTCATATCTTCGCCGGAGGCAGAAAAGTAGTCGAGACAACTTAAAAAACAAAATGACTCTTGAAAGAGCCAACAAAATTCGATGTGGATCCAAAACGGATTTAGCAGCTCACAAACATACAAATATGATCGAGTTATAGAGTAACAAACTCGATCTTACATACAAGAACAGATAGCGAAAATAATCTTAAAAATAATTCATTTTTTAAATAACAGACATGGAAAAAAAAATCAATCCATCACAACTTGATGGTCCATTACTACATGAAGTAGTGTGGTCCGTTACCACATAGACGCTTCTAACGCTCAAAAAAGTCGCAAACAATGATATAGAAAAAACAAATGTTGGAAGTGGAAGACACGTGGGTCTAATCGTTTAAACCAATGGTTTAAAAACC